CCCCCCCCCTTTCTTCCCCCTCCCTCCTCCACAGGTGTCCTCTTTTTTGGCATTGGAAATATGGGAACCCTAGATGAATGAGGATTAGTTGATCCAGAATGGAGTATATGTACTATAATTTCTTTGAGGTACCTGATGTTGGAAATGTAATAACTGATGAGAAACTTGTTAAAAAATTGACAAGTTCAAGCATCTGGGTTCAGTCATTCAATGGAATGCAGTTAAATGAAGAGTTGAACCATTGAATAACAGCAGCATGGATGAATTGGAAGTTGGCAACAGAAATATGTGACAGGAGAGTATTAGTGAAGCTGGAGGGGAAATTCTTTAAGACGTAGTGCTATTGTATGGAGCGGATACATGGCCTCTGAAGAAAACTCAAGAAAGGAGACTGTACATGGTGGGGATGAGAAAGCTTCAATAGATGTGCAATGACAAGATGGATAAAGTGAAGAACACTTACATCAGAGGATTGGTGACGGGAGTGGAGGCTTCTAAGAAAGTAGATGAGAGAAGACTGACATGGTATAGGCATGTTCAAAGGAGTCTGGAAGAATACGTGAGAAAAGAAGTTACCAGTATGGCACTACCAGGGAGAAGGGGAAGAGGAAGACTGAAGATGAGGTGGAGAGATATAGTAGAGAGCCAGGACCCACAACAATGACCCTGTTTAGACAGGACAAATGAGGGAGGAAGAGAAGGAGAGGAGGAAGAAAAGGAAAAGGAATACTACAACAAAGACACCTGCTGTTAGTAAGGGAAACTCAACACGCTATGTAAACAGAAGAAGAATGGAAGAGGTCTTTAAAGGAATATGAACAAGAGCTTGAAGCCCCAAAACACCACAGCAAGCCTAAGAAAAAACAGCTCCAGGAGTAGCTGCTTTTAAGATGTGTTAGCCTGGATGCACTACGCAAGCTACCAGTAAAATTCAGGACATCCTTAGGCAAAAATCGAACTGGAAGTGGCTTGCTTGCTTACCTCACACCTTAAATGTGGAGCTCTTGAACCACGCGCTTGACCAGCTTTCTGAAGATGAGGAGATTCCTACAGGGCAGCAGGGTATGAAGAATAGGCTTGAAGGCTTTTTTCTTTATTCTTCTTGTTTGTAGATGCCTGAGGAGAAATATAATCAGAGATTGAAAGAAGTCTGATTCATCAGCATGTGGACAAATACAATTGCCTGGTACCTGAGGAGCATTGATGACTGGCTCAGAACAGAAACCCAGAGAAAATGGAAACAAGCAGATATATTTAAGGAGAAGTGCTTTGAAAGAAGTTCTGAGAAGGTCTGGCCTTGAGTGCACTGACGCCAGCCAGCTGGGTAGGCATGGGCTATGCAGGAGACAGAGCCACCAGATAATTCCCACAGGCAGAGCCGCAATTTATGGCCGAGAGATTGTCAGAGGAACAGACAACCAAAATCCCAGGGCAAGTGGGAGCGAACCACAGGGCACTGAAACCCAACTGGAGCACCAGTGAGGACAAACATGAATTTTAAAAAATTGTTCTAGGCATGACTGCCCAGTATCACACTGTGTGCACATGTGTATGTAGGTGTCAATGTGTGGGAAAAAGGGGAGCGGGGGTGGAAAAAGTCATGCAAGATCTCATCTTTCGCATTTTTTTTCCACATGGAAAAACTGGGCTCTGCCATGAGAAGAGAAAACATGATGAAAACTCCCTTATTTTTTTGTAGTTAACTCTACTAACGTTTTAACTTAAGCATCGTGATTTCTTGAATTCTGACTTGCTTAAAAGAAACAAACAAACAAAACACCGCCACGCTTTAGATTAGTAGCAGTGCCTGCGTACCTTAGCAGGGTACAGAAGTGGGCAAGGTTCCACAACCAAAAAATATTTAAGGTGAGATAGAAGGCTCTGAGTGTGATTTTGAGGAACTGGATGTGTGCCAAGCAAAGCTTTCTGCAGCCCCTGATTAAATACTTTGCTGATATCCTCTAGTGCTGTGTAAGTACCTTGCAACAGATACTTAGCTGGTGTCAACTGCCAGCACCACTGAGGTGAACAGAGCTATGACAACACACATCAACTACAGATCTCCCCCCACCCCCTTATCTTCACAGGTATCTATTTAATTGGTACAGGTACTTACAACTAAAACATTTATTCATAGGGAGCTAATGTGTAAACCAACCATTTTCCATATATAAATACTTGGTAGGCACAGCCATCCATGTGTAGACATTAACTTGTCACAATAGGTGATATATATTTTCCCCACCAAAGGTTTTGACATCTAAATAATCTGTTGTGAGCTAACATTCTAATAACATTAATTTGCAGATCTATATTTCCTCCAAACTAAGCCTGTGCACTACAAGAGAAACAAGACAAGGGAAACTCTGAATTTCTTAACTCCTAGGCACTTTGAGTTATGAATAGGTAAAACAGTTCAGGCATTTTGGGGAGAAAAAGAATGAGGAATGCTAACATTTCACCGCCATACAGAGAAAAGCAAAGCTGTGGCTGTATTCTTCAGACTTTCCCAAAGCATTCTTCTCTAGCCTGAGAGCAGGCACCTGAAATTTAAGCACAGACTAGCTCCTCTGAAATCAGTGAAACCACACTAAATCACAGTACCTGAAGGTCTAGCCCTTGGCAGGAATGGTTTCACCCTTAACTAGGGAGCTGCTATTAACTCTTGAACAACAACAACAACAACAATAATAATAAAAATCTAAGAACACTTGCTTTAGGACAGAGAATCAAGAGCAATTATTTTTCACAGTAGCACCCACAGGCCCCAACCAAGAATAAAGTGCCCATTCCATGGGGCACTGCATAGACGCATACTGGGTGTGTCTACACGCGCAAAACAATGGAGTGGGTTTACTTTAAAGTACTCTAGAGTAAACCCACCCTGGGCAGGAGTTTACACATGTTGGGGTGTGGGAGCAGATTTGCTGGCTGACCAGGTGACCGGTCTGACTGACCGGCAACAAATTCACTCCTGGTTGGCCATCTGCACATACTGTACTGAGCAGTAATTACTCCCACGTAAATTTACTACTTGTGTTTACAGGTAGAAAATCTACTCAAGATTACAGCAAATTACTGCACAGTAAGCATCTGCACGTATAGATGGTGATGCTTCCTGCATAGTAATTTTCTCTAATTTTGAGTAAAGCACCTCATGTAGATGCTCCCACTATGCAGTAATTTGCTTTAAACTTGAGTAAAGCATCTCATGTGGATGCGGCCACTGAGAGAGAGTTTCAGCTCTGAGCAGCTTACGTAAACAAGGCAACGAATGGAAGGAAAATAAAGGTACCGAGAGCAAGTGAGCTGCCTTGGGGTTGCAGCAGCTTCATGGCAGAGCTAGGAATAATACTAGTCTTCTGACTCATTCCAGTGCTCTATCAGATGCTGCTTCCTGAGGAATCAAAAGCCAGGGGTCATTTTTTATCCCATTCTGTATGTATTGGGCATCACAGTGTTGCCAGTAGTACATCAGGGCACTTGCATTCAGGTATTAGTGTACTAGGTGGAACTGAATGGCTTCTGTCTTTCAGTCATTGAATGTCATGTGGTATGGATTTGAATTAGACACTGAATAGAGTCAGTTTTCAGAATTAGATGAATGGTGGTATCTGACAATTCCTTAGTAGCACTAATCCAACTTGGGGTTTAGTGCAGGTAAAGGAACGGGGAGTAGGCCAAGACAGGCAAAACTGCATTAAAATAAAGATAAGATAGTAAAAACAAAGTCCGAAAGTAAAGATAAAAGGCAGGGGTCAGACTCTACCCCACTCACTCATGTTATGGTACCATGCTCTTTGAGATGTCTTTTTTGATAAGACAACATCTTCTGGTCTTACCTAAAGAGATACTTTGTATATTATTGCTCTTAAAAGCCTTCTAAACAGTGGCCCTGTAAGCTAGAAGAGTGGCACAAGGCCAATCCACAGGCCAGATCCTGAATATAGAATTGTTCCACTGTTGCAATCCAGCACACTGACCCAGCCCCATGAGTTAGATCTGGCCTGTGGCAGGACTGGGGTCCAGGGCCAGTTGTTACACCCCTGCCTGGTAACCTCGGAGTTCCTGCTCTTACTCTGGCTCTTCAGGTATTCTTCCCTGCCCCATTTGGCTCTTACTTTCAGATCTTGAGTGTAATGGAGGTTTCCCCAGGGAGCCGAGTAAGCCTACATCCTCCCAGTCTATCAATTCTTTATGGACCACCTGCCTCTAAGTTATGCTCAGAAGCTACTTCTGGCCCATAGGCCCCTTTTCTGACACCAGTCACCTTAAAGGATATTTATGGCCTCCAACCTCCCTTACAGCTGTGCCAGTGCCTTTCAGGTGTTAACACTTTAGTTGTTTTTGAGGCCGCTCTTGATCTTTCTGTCCCTTGTTGGCTTGCTTGCCTTCTGCCCGTATTCTCTGGCCGGGCTCTCCAGCCCTGATCTACTGCACAGGACTGGGCTTTGGGGCTCTAGTCCTCATTTCGACCTTCCTACATCTGGCTCTTTCAGCCCTGATCTCGCCTCTTTACAGACTTGGGCCTTGTGCCTTTCAGGGGCCCAGGTCTCACCCCTTTAGGTCTGTAGGCCCCCTGACCCCATCTCCTCCATGTCTAGGCACCAGCCCCTGGCACTGTGCTTCTCCAGGCTTCAACCTGCCTCAGCTTAAGCTTGTTCTGTGCCCTGAGCCCTGGCAGTGTTCAAAGGAACCATGTGCTCCTCAGGCATCCTGGGACTTCCACCTCCCCTAAGTAGTCCTAACCTGTTCCACCAATTCAAATCATTATAGAAAACTTAAGCCCTCTGCCTATAACCAAAATGAAGTCCTTTGGCTGCATAAGGAAGTCCAGCTTGCAGGCAACTTACAGTTCTTTATTAGGAACCTCCCTGGTATAAGGTCTCTGGTGGGCTTGCAGCTTTGGTGTAGCACAGGGCCTTTTTCATTGGAGCATAGTAGTTAGGATTCCTCTGGTAGCCTTGCAGCCACAG